GTACACCTCGTCGGAATCTCATGGTCTGGTACGCATGCTGAGCTGATAGTTCGGGGTGATACCATCTTGCAGCTCTCGCCGTTGCTATGTTGGGAGAGGGCATGCTGCGGAATCCTAGGCCCAAGATCGATTTGAAAGGAGTGATGATGCTTTCTGGTATGGTTGGACCGTATGAGATGTATGCAATCCATTCATTCCGAGTTGACATTGTTGCCTGGCTCATCTTGTCAGATATCACGGAGCTTACGAGATGGTTAGGGATCGGCAACTTCTACCACAGAAGGAGTCCTAGTTCCACATTGTGCGTTGGTCGTATAATTCTCTCAGGCTCGATATAATGAAGACTGGCCTGGGGGTCTGTAAAGCAGCTGTCGACAAGTGCAATTCTAATGGACCTGGGAAGCCTGCTAAGCCCGGTGGGTAATCCGTAACTTGAGCACTCTCGACAGTCATGCTCTGTTCCTCGCAGTTTTCTGCCAAGAAGCTTTTGATACCTGTGAAGCATTAACGATGAACCGTATGGACGCAGCACGCAAGAGCATGTAAGTGGGTGGGTTGGGATCTGAGTGTTGACCTTCGTTGTCCCGAATTCGTGACGACCAGACTCCTCGAAATCATCTGTAATTTCTCTATGTTCTCCGGAATATTCCCATCATGTGGGCTAATAATTCTTCTCCAGATACGATGTACGCGCACGAACAGGGGGAGACTTCGAATTTTTCGCTTTCCAACCGGGAGATGTAGCCGTCGTTGCAGGTCTCAATTTCGAAAGTTGTCATCCACTCAGCCGGACGCTTTTCTCAATAGACCAAGTGTTAAACAAGCTCTCGGCGTATCCGGGAGAATATGGAAGCTATCGAATGATCAGGTTGCCATCCTTCCAACTCTTGATTCCATGTTAAGATGATAGTCTCTGCCCAGGTCTTTCAAGACTTCAATAAGTACAGCACCTATGATGGGAGCTTCTTCGTCACACAACTCCTCGACCACGGCTTGAAAGTGAGCATGATTCGAGAGCATCACTTCTGGAATACACCGAGACTATGGAACTACGAACTCGAGGGCGAAATACGCGCCGCGGTGGGGGCATACGAGTCATCCGACTGCCAGTCGCGATCTCTCGAGTTTTCGTGAGAACAAAGGAATTCAAATGGTAAATTCGATGATGTGGCTAATATTGGACGGCTACGTTCAACCAGATATGTTCAACTAATTTCGACATAGCACAAGTCATGTCTGGAGACTGAGTGAAGGATTCGATACGGCATATCCTTTCATTGTATCAGCATGGTATATCACTGCTACAGATACTTGTGGTCAATGGCGATATGGATTTAATCACGAACGCGGTGGGTACAACAGAGTGGCTGTTTAGCTTGAAAGGGAAGGGGGCGTACGGCGAAGCACTCAGACATTCGAGACCCCAAGAAATCAAGGTCAGAAGTTTCCGCTATTCCAGTGCCATCTCTCAGCACAACGTCTGTAGCGAAGAACTCTGTTTCAGTTCCCTGGAATTGGAGTCGTAGGAACTTCGCGTATTTCGCAGTACCCTAATGGAGCGAAGCTCGCATTCGTCGAGGTGAGAAGCACATTATGGTAGCGAACATTGACGGTGTCTTTCAGATGAAGGACACAGGCCATGGACTCACGTTGTATCAACCCGTAGGGATGCAGCAGATACTGCAATCTTTCCTCACCGGTAACCTTTGGTGAGACTGGAGCAATCACAACAAGAACGTCGGTCTGAGCA